ACTAGAAATCAGTGGTTAAGTTGTATTTACAACACTGTTCCAGAACACTTCAACCCAAATATTTGGAGTGTGCAACACATTTTATGGAGGACGAGGACTGTTTCCTGAGAGAGTAGCCTACAATGCCGGTGTTCTGACAAATAATACTGACTCACTGACTGTAAGTATGTTTTCATATTTAAAGGATTTGCCACTGATGATTCAAACGTGAGTTTTGAGCAGTGTAGAGTAGCGCTTGTTGTTTGTCATTTCTCCGATCACAAATGCAGACATGGTTTTATGTTTACGTGGCACGATGCAATGCAACACGTAAAAAGACAGTATAAGTCATTATAATCCATAATTATGTCCCTACTGGATGCAACAAACGCCTCGTTTATAATGGGTTTTAATGTTTTTGTGTCGTCGCTCTGGCCGGGACAGGGCATCACAGTATGGTGAGGGGCGTAACATTTCCGTCACACACTTGAGGTATTCGGCCAATCACAACGCACTGGATAGCTGGCCAATCAGAGCACACCTCGCTTTTCAGACCGATGAGCTTTGTAAAAATCGACGTGTTTCAGAAAGGAGGGGCATAGAGGAGAAACAATAATGTACAGTATGTGGAAAATAATGTGTTTTTTGAACCTTAAACCGTATAAACATTTCATTACACCAAATACACAAAATAATGTTCTTTTTTAGCAACGTCACTTTGATCACAACCTCTCAGAAATCAATATCATGGCAACAAACTAGTTACATTTGTTACAGAAACGATGGTGCACATATAAAGGTTAAATAAACGAACATAGTAAATATTTAATGAGGGTTTGTGAACCGGCCTGTCAGGTCGCTAGCATACAGTATACTAGATGGGTCACGGAAAGGGAATTTAAGATGGGAGAAGGTGTGTGTGTGTGTGTGTGAGAGAGAGAGTGTGAAACAGAAAGAAAGTGCTAATTTTAGCGCGCGGTGATAAACCCTGCTATCCTGTGGGACAGGCTGATATCAAAGGGAATGCATGCTGGCTCGGTTGCCATGGTGAGCGTAATTCAGCTTGGATGTCTCCTAATTGGAAAGCTGGGATATAAAGGGGGAACATTTTCAATATAAAAAGGCCATGTGTTTATAATGACTGTCAGGAATCACACATGCAACTCTTCTCGAGAACGTATTCGTGACTCTGGGTTTCAGGTGGCCTAGGCTGGATCAGTGGTCAAGCTAACACAGATAATTACAGAAACAGCCGCGTGTGTTGAACTTATATTTGATTGCTTTTCACCTCGATTCAGACAATGAAAACAGTTTGCTGGTGAATAATGAGTTTAGATAACTGATTACTCGAAATAGAGGCATGAAACGATGAGAAACCTCATAAACCTGCTGTTTTTAAGCATCATGGGTGCGCTGCTCCAGAAAGTAGTCAACTTAATTTGATAAAATGTCTAATTCTGGCCAATCTCTAAGGCAACATTCCTTCCAAACCAGGATATATTACAGTAACGCGTCACGTATAACCGTTTTCCACGGTTTTTGATGTCTTTTGCCCCGACTGGAACTGTGCCCATTTTACAGCACGTTCAAAACAGCCCATAAATACATTTGCAAGAAAGTCAGACCCTCATAGCCTGCTGGTTACCAGAGTAATCGTGTGGTAATTATTTTCACCAGCAATTACTGAGTCGCATGTCGCTGCTTTAACCATGAAGAAGAACTGAACCTGGATGAGTGCAGAGCGCTATTATCATCAACTATTAAAGGGGTCATATGATGTGATTTCAAGTTTTTCTTTCTCTTTGGGGTGTTACAAGCTCTTGGTGCATAAAGAAGATCTGTAAAGTTGCAAAGACTAAAGTCTCAAATCCAAAGAGATATTCTTTATAAAAGTTAAGAGTCAAACACGCCTACCTAAAACGGCTCGTTCTAACACGCCCCCACATGTCTACATCACTATGTGGGAAGATTTGCATAACGCCGCCCAAATGTTCACGCAAAGAAAGAAGGCGTAACTTTTATTCTCGCTGTAGTATTGTTGCTGCTGCCATGTCGTGAAGACGCTGTGTGCTTCGTTGTGAAAGCGAAACTACTTTGTTTGGTTTTCCACAAGAGGACGATATCCGCTTCGTCATGCCTGGAGCTGATCCGTGCTGGTTGCTGAGGAAATACATCAACTTCGCGCTGTG